TGTTACGGGGGGGGGGGCGGCAGGGGCTGATGGGCTCTGTGGCGGCCTCACCATAGATCATGGCCAGCCCGGTCTCGTGCAGGAAGCGGGCGCGGCGGTGCTTGAAGAGCCAGATGGTGAGGATGGTGAGGGTCAGCAGGAGGATGAAGACCAGCAGGTTGGCGCTGTCCTGGCGGTGACTGGCCTCCGCCGCCTTCTCGGCCACCAGCTCTTCCTCCAGGCCGCCCGGATGACCCCCGCCCGCCCCGGGCCCGGGATCCAGGCCCAGTACCAGCAGCAGCAGCGCCGCCATGGCTCCGATCGCGCTCGTCCCTTGTCCCCTGACCCGGCTGGCTCAGCGCCTCAGCGGACCCACGACGCCCATCATCCCCGGCCGAGCGACCGCCCCGCCCACACCGCTTCGGCCCGCCGCTCCTCCTTCTCCTCCTCCTCCTCCCCCGTCCCGCCCGACGTCATCGCGGCGCGCCTTTGGACGTCATGGACGCGCGCCGAGCGACGCGACGCCGGAGGCTCCGCCTGTGGCTCGCGCGTCCCGCTCGCGCTCTCAGCGCCGCGCATGCGCACGTGGCGCCTTCGGCGGCTGAAGCAGGAGGAGGAGGAGGAGGAGGAGGAGAGGCGGATGATGGCGGCCGCCTCTCTCTGGAAAGGGCTGGTTGGGGTCGGGCTCTTCGCCCTGGCCCACGCGGCCTTCTCCGCCGCGCAGCGTGAGTGACGCGCGCGGTGGTGGTGGTGGTGGGCCCTTCTTCCCCCCCCCCCGACTCTCCCTTCCGAGGGGAAGGGGAGAGAGAGAGCCCCCGGGGCAGAGGGGAAGGGGAAGCCCGACGGGCCGTTGGGCCTGAGGGAAGGAAAAGCCGGGGGCCCTCGTCAGCCGCAGCTCCCTCAGCGAGCGAGCGGCCGGGGTGCCCGGGAGGATGATGGGAGTTGTAGTCCCGGGAGTGGGGGGGTCCTCGGGGGGGTGTAAAAACTCGTCCCTCGCAAAGGGGTCTGCTGAATCCGGGGGGGGGTGGAAGAGAAGTGGGGAGAAGGGAGGGAGGGGAGGGAATGAAAAGCTGCCCCCCCCTTTAAGGCCAGGAAGACAAATTGGGGGGGGGGGGCTTGAGCCTTTGCTTATTGCAGCGCCCAATATGCAAGAGAGAATTGGCGGGAGGGGGCGTCCCTGCAGGGGAATTTGCGCAGAGAAGGGGGGGCATGAAGGTCCTGGGCTTCCTTGCCTTCTCTCTCCCCCCCCCTCCCCAATATTTTAAATGTGCTTCTCCCTCTGCACTCTCCATCCTGCTCCCCAGCTCCACTTGGGCCCAGTTGTTGGTGGGGGGTGAGACGAAGATGGACCCTTTGCCTCTTTGTATTTCCAACAGATCGTTCCTATATGAGACTAACGGAGAAGGAAGACGAGACGTTGCCTATAGACGTAAGTGATCTCTGGCCGCCTGCTTCCCATTGTAGGGCGCAAGCTCCAGATTAGCAGATTGGACCTCGGAGTACGGGTAGTCCTCAATTTAGGGCCACAGTTGAGGCCACAGTTTGTGTTGTTCAGTGAGACGTTTGCCCCACCTTATGACTTGTCTCGCCACGTTTGTTGAGTGAATACACTGCAGTTCTTAAATGAGTAACACGGTCGTTAAGTGAATTGAGCTTCCCCGTGGACTTCACTTGTCAGAAGGTCGCGAAAGGGGAGGCGGTCACATGACACTGCGACCGTCATAAATATGAGTCAGTTGACAAGCATCTCAATGTAAAATACCTGACCATTGGGACAGAAGTGTGAAAAATGGTCAGAAGTCACTTTTTTCAGTGCAGTTGTAACTTCCGTGCCTAAATGAACTTGCCATAAGTCAAGGACTTCCTGTAGTTGAATTACAAAGGAGGACGCAAACAGAACTCAAGGCCCGAGCTGGATTTGAACTGCTGGCTCTTCGTTTTCTTTGCACACTTGGTAGGCTGGCCAATTGTAGCACGTAGTCTTGGTGGCAGGAATGAAACCGTCCAGATTTGGCACTTTCCTCTGCCTTGAAAACATCCCTCTAGGAATTCCTTGTTGCCTCCAGTTGGTATTTCGCGCTGGTTCAACTCCCAGAATAAACAGCCTGATCTTTCGGGCGTTTGGCTTAACGTATCTCCCGCCTACGGATCCTGCCCTCATGGCATTCTTCTTGCTTTTTTTCTCAGTGTTTCTGATTATTTTTTTACTGGTCGGGAGTGCTCATAGATTGCAAACAGTCCGATTCCTGTGCCATCGAAATCTACGTGATAGTCTTAATTGCAGTAAAGATGGTTTATTTACTTTTTCTCACGTTTACACACAGCGTAAGAAGACATTCTGTGTCTTCAGACCAGATCTTGGTCTGCCGTGTTTCCCTTGTTCTAACCCTGCCACCTTTGAGCCCCAAAAAGGAGAACTACCTTGAATACGGAAGCCTCAGCATGAACCAAATTATGGTGGAGAGGCTTTCTGAAAACACTCAACTGTCGTTTCTCCGTCTGTTTATAGATCGTTCTTCAAACTCTGCTCGCCTTTGCAGTTACCTGTTACGGGATTGTGCATATTGCAGGAGAATTTAAAGACATGGACGCTACTTCAGAGCTAAAAAATAAGTATGTCCCTTTCTCTTTCCTTCTTGATTACTACTACTCTAATTGTGTGTCTCCTGGTTGTTATTGTGCTATTTCAGGCCAGGTAGGAGGGGACTCTCACTCTTTGGCTCAAAAGGGAAGAGTGTGGTTGGCCAGATACCAACCAATAATGCCAGGGGGAGATAAAAGGCTCTGCTCAGCGTCTTCCTCGGGGAGAGGAGGATCATATGGGGCCTCCTCTTTGTACTTCTCCCCCCTCAGAATAGACCTGCCAGGGGAATTGGTGATGGGAGCTGTACTGTACCGAGAAAATTAACCATGGAATCCAGGAGGCCCATGTGAGAAGCGCATGTTGGACCTGTGAGGGAAAAACTATTAACAGGAGTGAGCTATTGTTCAGTCAAATGTTGTTCAGTCTAGTTGGGAAAGGGTGGTGGTGATGATGGACTGAAGAATAAACACAGAGTTTGCTTTTCACAAAACACGGTGCCATTTTGACTGAATGGTATGAAACTTTAAACCAGAAAGCCTTCCTTGGCTACTGCTTTTGCTTACATATTCTTGTTCTTCTGAAGAATAGAATTTAGGTCATTTGGAGTGAGACTTGTGCTGTAATTTTTCTCCCCTTTTCCACTAACCCATCTGCCTGGCTTCACTTCAATTTACAGGCTGGGTTCTCAGAACGGGTGAAGCGAAAAGAAAAAGGCTCATTTGCCATCTTAGGCCCTTTTAAAGAAAGTGTAAGGCCAATGGCCTCAGTTGGGAATGGAATTACGGGTAGCAGAGTTTGGGGAAATAACCTACTGCATCGTGATTAATAGCAAGCCTTAGCCAACAAGTTGAGTTTGTACAAATCTTGGAGCAAGGCCAATTCTTGCGTGGTAAGTGTCTGAACTTGCCACAGCTGACAAAGGCGGTATGGGGAAATCAGTGGTAGGATTGTAGAATGGGAAGGGAAGGGATCATAAGGACCAGCCTCCATAGTATGCAAGCCAAGACCAATTAAACCGTCCTCGAGAGCCAGTTCTCCAGCCTCTGAGAACCTTCCATCGATGGAGAACCCACCATCTCTGTAGGTACATGTGTTCTTGGTCCAAATTTTGTAGCTTAGCAGCGATCCCCCATTTTTTCCCCCTCTCTGCTGCCTGGGATATGGCAGTAATGTTTTATCTCTCAGGAGAAGAGACAGGTAAGATTTAAGCTTAGGGTGTCCATGATATCTGTTTATATCAAATGTCTTAAAACCCATTGTCTAAATTTCTCTCTGAAATGATTGCTTGCCAGTTGCAGTAACCGTTCTCGCTCAGTGTTAATTCCCTTCTCTCCTGTTTTCCTTTCGTTTTAGGACATTTGACACGTTAAGGAACCATCCATCCTTTTATGTATTTAATCACCGGGGCAGAGTGTTATTCCAGTCCCCAGACACTGTCCACTCTTCCTCCAGCCAGGATGCGTTGTCATCCAGCGGATCACTGAAGTTGCGAAAACTTGAATCGCTGCACCGTTAAAAGAGGTTTTTTATATATATATAGACGATTCTAAAAATAGGACACTGAGCTGTAATATTGGAGCTGGATATAAACACTTGTTTTTAAAATTTCTGGAGCAGTATTTATATTGATCTTCCAGGCTTTATAGTAATGTGTGTGCGCGCTTGTGTGTATCTACACACACAGGCACACACATACATGAATATATTAAAAATATATTAAAAGGACTTTTGAACACTGGTCACGACAACTAAAATTGTGAATTGGTAAACCGTGAAAGTTACTGCTAAAAGTACGCAGTGAAATAATGCATCTTACCTTTCATTAAAGCTCTGTGGTTAAACTCACTGTTCTGAATGATCACAATCTCTGTTGCCACATGCAGATGGAGGCTTTAATGGACTAAATAAGCAAAGGGTATGTTGGATTATTGTGTTCCATGGCAAAATAGTTGTGGGCGGCTTGTCTGCTTTGCCGCCACGTAACTCTCCTTGCAGCCGAGTCCTTGACACAACCCGTGGTTATTTCCGCCTCTTGTTTATTGGTGATCTGTGTGGAATATCTGGCCAGCAGAGCCAACGGAGACTAAATCTTTTACAAGTAGGAATTTAGCCAACGTTTTGCCAAAGGGGTATGGACTTGATTGACCACTTAGCCATTGATTGCAAGTTCCCCCCCGAAATGCTCAAGAGATTATGAAAAGCATATGCTTTTTTGAGAAGTTGCAATGAATGGCCAGATCTTAGGACACAAAAACTGAACCATGACAGCTGTAACCCATCCACTTCTGTCATCAAGCTCTTTTGTTTATATCATCATCCGTGATAGGCAGCTGGGGAAGACTGGCTTAGGGAGGGAGGAAGTGGTTTGACAGCAGGCAAAGTTTGCAGGTGGGAAAGTCGGGATTGTGTCTTGTAATGGTTTCATTTACTTTTGGGGGGGGGGGTAGTGCCTTTTGATTTTGGCTCCCGCACGTGCTTTTAAAAGCAGGTCGCCCGTAGGGTTCCCGTTGGAGCAACTGAACACGTTCAACTCGTTTTTCCACTGTGCCTTTTGTTTTTGTTTTTTTAAACCTAATTGTCGGTGATCACCAGACTTCTTCCACAATTATATACTTTGCAATGTTTGTGTTTGGCTCCAAGCTTGATTTTTTTCCCCCCCACCACAGAATGTAACCAATTTCAAAATTTAGCAACTCAAAGAGAAGTTGAATGTCTGGTCTTGGAGAGCATTGCTCCGTGCGTCTCCGGGGACAAAAAAGTCTTGGGCTCCGAATGGGCAAGAAGTTGGGTGTGCTGGCAATTAAAATGCATGCACTTTTACAGAGCGTGGGATAGGATCTTTGCTTTAGACGGCAGCCACTTCAGGGCAGGACAACAGTGGGCAAAACCCAGCATTTTTTGATCTTGGCAGAGAAACGGGGCTCTGGCCAAAAGATCAGAACGCTGGGCATGACTGTGGTGACTATTGGCCTTTCAAAACCCAGCATTGGCACCAGTTGGTTTAACGTTGTGGTCCTTCATTTGAATTAAAACTCAACCTTAGCCTTGATATGCTTTCTAGGTGAAACTTATCAGACGTGTAAGGCAGTTGCCTAGATCTGTTGGTCACCTTCCTCCTAATATCCCCGACGATATCCTAACCCTAACCCTGCTCAAAGTAGCTACCCATTGGCTATCCCGTCCCGCGTTCCTTTCTGGGCGATTTCTAGCAGGTTTTTAATTGTCTTGTATCTAACGCTCTCCAGCCCAAAATTCAAAGCAGTGGAAGTGGGCAGCTCATAGGGATTTGTGACACCCAAAACGGCTCCATAAAATGCCAGTGATTTGCCTATGCAGTGTTTGCTGTTTTAGTATATAACGGTGTTCCAAGCTGGAGTCCTCGTTTGTTCTTTATCCTGACGGTTTTGCCAAGAACTTGCAAATTTGGCTACAGAGAGGCAGCCTTTCTCCAAAGCCCAGGTCTCTCTCTTCATGCGTTTTTGTGTTCTGGATTTTGCACTCTGTTCCAAGCACCTTCCGGGTCTCTTTAAAACTTGCAAGAAATGAACAGGTTCCCTTTCCACTATCCATGGTTATTTTACAAATGTGCAAATTTTGTTTCTTTCCCTTTCTGGTCTTGCAATGTCCAATAAAGAACTAATATTCCAAAACTAAGCGTAAGAATCATTTTTGCAGATGTAATTATATTTTTTTTACTGGTGTTATAAACTTCTGGAAAGGGTTCTTTAGTCTGAAGGATTATGGATTTCTCTGAAGGGAGAGACGACGAAGTACTTAGGAAAAAAATTAGATTGGATACAGCGATCCTCCAATCCGTTTTGGGGCTCCTAAACTGGGTTCATTATCAGTCTGGCATCTGTCAATAAACCCTTAATTATAGTCCCACAATTGGGGTGCCTAGGGCATCATTGGGGCGGGGGCTAATTCAGGGGAACATAAAACTGAACAATTCCCCCCCTCTCAAGTTTCCAATATTTCTGAAAACGAAGGCCAAAAGTGTTTTTGGCTGTGATGGATGGGAGTAGAACTGCTGAGCAGTTGGGCCTCTTGCAATCACAAGCCAGCTTTCCATTCCTCTCCCAAGAGAGGCTGTGCTTTGGTGCAGGAAAACAAGAGACGCCGTGCAAATCGCCAGAGGTGGGTTGTATTTTTACTCCTCTTGGAGCCCTCGGGCTACTTTCTGGCAGGGGGAATTCTGCCTCCATTTAAGGCTGGAACCAGGCCTGCCAATACGATCAATAGTTTCTGCCGGCAAGCTAATCCCCATCAGCTGCAACTGTCAGGTACTTTTGCAGCTGATGTTTCAGTTCCACGCAATACCTACGTCCAGTTTAAATCCCTATTATCCCGCAATGAGCTAGTGGAAGGGAAAACCAAGTTTCCCCAGGACGTGACATTCCTAACTGTCCTCGTGATTGAAATCAGAGTGGGGCAAAAGGAGACACGTCTTCAGCCTGGGCTCTGCTACATTAGGGGTCCCCAACTCCCCCCACCCCTCCCCAGACCTCGGCCTGTTACCGGGCCATGAGCTTTTCGGAACTGGGCCGTGGAAGCGGTGGGTGGGCGAGTGGGCGCGACACATCCCCACCGGTGTGAGCAACAGGAGAGCACACACCATTTGCACAAGCGGCAAGTGTCTGTGTGGGTCGCTTGTGCAAATGGAGCTGCACGGGTGCACCTGCTTGCCAACTGCCCACGCAAAATCAACCCCTCCCCCCCCCCTCCGGCTCCCCTCTGCAAAGCCATAAATGGTTTAGGACAGTGTTTCTCACGCTGGCTGGGGGATTCTGGGAGTTGAAGTCCACAGGACTTAAAGTCGCCAAGGTTGAGAAACACTGGTTTAGGAACTCTGATCTCCATGAAAACGAGCCTTGATGGTTAGTTTCCAAATTGCAAAGTCTCCTCCTCCAAAATTTAGCCAGCCGTCTTTTTTCCCACAGCCCTCGGGATGGATGCAGGCTACAGCATCCCATAAGCTTGGGCTGGTTACACCTAGGAAGTCATCAGAGCCTGCCTCTCTGGCCATCCGTCCAGCCACTTCCTTATCAAGACAAGAGGGCCCGAGAGCGGGTTGTTACTAGTTGCTTAGTATGACTTCCCCAATAGCAATAGCAATAGCAGTTAGACTTATATACCGCTTCATAGGGCTTTCAGCCCTCTCTAAGCGGTTTACAGAGTCAGCATATTGTCCCCAACAATCCGGGTCCTCATTTCACCCACCTCGGAAGGATGGAAGGCTGAGTCAACCTTGAGCCGGTGAGATTTGAACCGCCGAACTGCAGATAACAGTCAGCTGAAGTGGCCTGCAGTACTGCACCCTAACCACTGCGCCACCTTGGCTCTTGGCCCAAGCCTCTGCAACAGGCAGAAGCTAAAACCTCTGGAGCGCAGGAAGTTCCCTTGTTGCCCGACAAATTCTTCCTCCAAAGAGTAGAATAAAGTGCTCCGCAACCACCGAGTTGAAGCTGGTTGTGACAAGCTGGAAGTCTACAGGGGCAAAAGTCACCCCCTCGGGGCTGCTTGGGGGCAGAGGGAGGGAGCACCACTGCAAGAGAAGGAGACCGCCATCAACTGGCACCCTCGGGCCGTTCGGTTCGACGGAGGAAGCTGGAAGGGACAGTTACCTTTAAAGCCCTACGTGGCCTAGGACCCGGATATCTGCGAGACCGTCTTCTGCCACATACCTCCCAACGGCCGGTAAGATCGCACAGGGTGGGCCTTCTCCAGGTGCCGTCAGCCAGACAATGTCGGCTGGCAACCACCCGGGGGAGGGCCTTCTCTGTAACCGCCCCGAACCTATGGAATGAACTACCCGCAGAGATCCGGACCCCTACCCACTCTCATGGCCTTCCGAAAGGCTATCAAAACCTGGCTATTCCGGCAGGCCTGGGGCTGTTGACCTCTCGACTGAGGTCCAGCCCCAACTAGATTGAGCCAAGGTGGCGCAGTGGTTAGAGTGCAGCACTGCAGGCTACTTCAGCTGACTGCAGTTCTGCAGTTCAGCTGTTCAAATCTCACCGGCTCAGGGTTGACTCAGCCTTCCATCCTTCCGAGGTGGGTAAAATGAGGACCCGGATTGTTGTTGGGGGCAATGTGCTGACTCTGTAAACTGCTTAGAGAGGGCTGAAAGCCCTATGAAGCGGTATATAAGTCTAACTGCTATTGCTATTGCTAGATTGGGTGCTTGATGTGGTTTTTAATCTGTTTTCCTCTGTTTTTTTAATTCTTTATTTTTTAAAATTTATTTTCTGTAAGCCGCCCGGAGTCCATCGGGATTGGGCGGCCTATAAATTTATTAAACACAAATACAAATAGTTTCACTCCTCCTCCAAGGTATTTTGTTTAGGAACAACTGGCCACGCTAATAAAAGAAACAACCCACCCACCCCCCCATATTCAGATCAGGCACTCCTTAAAAAAATCATAAAATGATTTTTATTATGTACAAGTGCTCAAAAAATTCTTTCATATATATATATATATAATGTATATATATATATGTATAGATGTCTATATACACGCACACACACACACGCCATTTGATATCTCAAATGAAGGATCTGCTCAACAAGACTGTCCCAAAATAATTTCTTCTAGTATGAACATTTAAAAAGTAAAATCCGTGTGGAGGGAGGGGACGGGGGAGGGAGGGGAGTTCTCTCTTTTTTTCCCCCCCTGGCTTTTTTTGTTTTTTGTTCCTAAACCCCCCAAGTTTCCTTTTAAGCGCCTCCAAAGCCAAGTCCACGAGAAGAGTCTCCGTCCTCCTCACCGAGATGAAAGAGAACTGAAGTCTGGGACCTGGGGGAGCCTCGGGCGCCCCTGCAGACAAAAGAAGAAGAAGAAGAGGAAGACTGAGGTAGGTTGTAGAGGGGGGGGGGGCTACCATAGGAGCAGCTGCAGCAGCTGCCGCCGCCGGCCAGCCAGTCCATCCGTCCGTCCCAGGGCGTCTCTCCTTCCACCCAGGAAGAGCAGCGCCTGTCAATCCAACTGACCCCCGAGACCTCTGGGTTGGCTAGCTGCTCTCGTGGGAAAGGGCCACCTTCCTGCCCGTAGCGACAAGGTGGACTACCACCACGGAGGGCCTTTCCTCCTCCTCCTCCTCCTCTTTCCTTTCGTTTTTTTTTTTTAGGACAAAGGATCGCTCCGACACAAGTGCAGAGATAACACAAGGGGGGGGTTTGCGCCATTCGCCCTGGTGGCCTACAGCCAAAGTGTCTTAACAGCCAAGGGTTCAAATGAGTAAATTCTCATCACCTGCAGGGACCCTGGGGGAGGCGGCACCGAGTGTCTTTCTTCGGCCCAGGGGCAGATCAGCCCTCCGAAGGTGGGTGGGGAGGGAGGAAGCCACACGCCTCCTGCGGCAAATTCCTCAGGTGTCCGGCCAAAGAGGTGCGCTATGCGTAAAAACATCACCCTGCTCCTTCTGAGGCGCGCACCGAAAAGCCGCCGGCCTGCCAGGCTGGCGCAGGCAGTGGCTGCCACGTCCTCTTCCATCCTTCTGCGGCACAGCAAACTCTTTTGTCGGCCGGTCCCGTCCATTCCTCTGGCCGGCACGCTATTATTATCTACTGTTGACATGATTAATTCGGTTGGGAAGGCTGGTGAACTCTATTTCCTCTAGTATTCTTTCTAAGTGCTGAATTAAGACCCGTTTTTTAAACCTAAAACAAAACAAGAAAGAGGGAGGGGGGAAGTTTATTAAGGGCATCGCATTTCCTTCCACGGAGTGCCTGAACAGACAGACGGAGCTCAGCGTTCGTCCAAGAGCCCAGCTTTGATCTCTTGGGAAACAGCAGAGGTCCACCTGCCTTTTGGGAGCCCTGCGGAAGGGAGCACATCTGGGATATTTGCAAAAGATGTAAACAAGGCAGGCAGTGCAGTGAAGCCTTTTTGTTCCAGCATGTTGTCTTGATACACACCTTGTTGCTTCTTTGATAGCAAATTCAATGAAATATTTCTGAACCTCTACGGGGCCTTGTATTTCTTCTAGGAGGGAGAAGATTTTTTCATAATCTACAATTTCAAAGAAAAGACAAGGGGGTTAGATTAGAATTGGCCGACTGTCTGAACCGTTTCATTCCAACTCCGCCACCAGACAGCTTAGCAAAATTGCTAGCCAGCACATCTCTTTCTCCGTTTTCAAACCTTAAGCTACTCCCACCATCCTTTCTCCTTCTCTCCTGGGCCTGGCAGTCCCGAGAACGTACACAAACTGCTCCCAGAATTGGCCGGAAAGCAGAATAAAATGTCTTTAAAGGAAAACGGATTGGACTTTTGTCGTGTGAATCGCTCTCTTAAACTTTCGACCTAACTGAACTGCAGATTTGATAAGACACAACGGGAGTCACACCAACTGCCTCATAAATGGTAATCTATAGCACAAAGGTGGCAAACATCACAAGTACCTTTGAGTTCGATACCACGATTTGATTTAGATCAGATTTAGATCCCACGCTTCCCCAGGTTAGACCCGATTTGCAATAGTTATCCAGTTCTAAGCATCGTTACTTAGAGCAGTGTTTCTCAACCTTGGCAACTTTAAGTCCTGTGGACTTCAACTCCCAGAATTCCCCAGCCAGCTCTCG